CGTTTCCCCGTCGTTGAACGAATGCTAAAATCCGACATTGGTAAAGGGTGCGAGGAAAGAGGTAAGAGGTAAGAGGTAAGAGGTAAGAGGTAAGAGGTATCGTCGTTGATCGGGCAAGCGACGCGGAATCGGACCGCTCGTAGTCGAAGAATTTGTAGGAACCTCGACGCGCGACGCTCGATGTACGCGTTGCTTCGAGCAGACCTCGAATTGGTGGCTGCCGTAAATGCAGCGGCCGAGAAATAAGGGAGAAACGAGCGGACTCCGGTCGGAAGATCCGAGAGAGATCGCCTATTAGCAAGGACATCGAATCGCGGGAGTCGCGAGACTAGGCGGCCGCGAAAATTAATAACGCGAACAACGCTCGCGTCGAATCGTTAACCTATTGTCCGAGACTCGTCCCAGTTCCATCGGAAAATTTGCATTCCGAATTTATGGTAACCGCGCGCCGTTCGTTATCGTTTCGCGTCACCGCCCGGATATACGAATCCCGATTATTACGAGGAACAATAGCGCCGCGATACTAACCGGCCGAGGAAAGAATATCGAATTGCCAGGCTCTCTCCGTCTCTCTCCCGAAAACGAATAATACGGCCGTTCGAGAGAGAGAGAGAGAGAGAGAGAGAGAGAGAGAGAGAGACGTTGCACGATCGTTGCAATTCGAAGGAACTCGAAGAGGGGTGACAAAACGTTTTTCATCGTCGAAGGGACGAACGCGAGTGGACACGGTAGCGGAGAACCGAAGCGAGTAGCGCGGATCGATCGCGGCTCGGACCCAAGTGGAACCGCTCGCGAGTAAAATGCTCGCGAGCAGCACGCGTGTCAGCCACCGTACGGGCAAGCGTGCCAGGTTATTTAAATCGATCAGCAGGTTCCGCGGAGCGAAACAAAACGTAAAACTGCCGGGACAACAGAATTAGTTTTTCGTTTGCTCGCTGCCAGTGGTATTTGCGAGCATATTTGCGGACACGGGTGTAAATCCAATAACGCTAAACTAATATTGCAAGAGTAAACCGGGGCAAGGGAATTATTTACGTTCGACGGCGGAAACGTTCCCGCCGCCGCCGCCACCGCCGCCGCGGAGGGTCGCGTGTCCTCGCCATCCGGTCCGCTCGCAAAAACCGGAAACAAGACCGTGTTCGTTCGATGTCACAGCCTCGCGGCCGCCGCGCCGCCGCGTCACCGCGCCGCAGCCATCGACAATCTAGTCGCCCCATTCCGGTTTCCCATTCGCGAAACACGAGCACGAGACGCGCATACGACATCGCCGCCCGCCTACCCAGGGATCCTGGAGCCGCGTTCCTATCCAGCATCGTATCCGTCTTACGGTGGAAGTGTAATTCCGTTCCCGGAGACTTAATCGTGCCGGAGCACGTGCTGCGACCGAAATACCATCGTCCGACCATGCCGCATTCCGACGAGGGAAGATAGAGCCGCGCCGCGACGGATCATCGATCAAATTCGACGGTCCAACTTGTCGCTGTAGCAACTGCAGCCAGGGTGCCGCGAAAGTCGCAACGAAATTCGACCAGCATCGAGACGCCCTTTGCCAAGATTATCCGGCAGCCGCCGATAAACCGATCCAAACGTCTCTCTCAATATCAATCCCGTCCGTGGAATCGGACGTCGTCCAACGATACTCCGTCGGCTGTCGTCTTTCCGGTGTCGGATTCGATTTCTCGGTAAAAGTCTCGCGCGTCATCGGAATTGCGAAAAGGTGGCAGAATTATGATAAGGCGCGCCATCGATCCGCGGACGGTGGCGATAATTGTTTTCGAAAGGAATTTCGGAGTCTCGGACGCGAACAAAGATCTCGGAACAAATTCCTGTTCCAATCATCCTGGCGGGTCGGGGATGAAAAGGAAAATCGATTCGACCCGGCCCGAGGCTGGTCGAAAGGAAGAATTGCTTCCAACTTCCGAAAGAAGAGGATTTAGACCGCGGTCGCGACGCTGGGGAGCGCGATCACCGTCGATCTCTACCCCTGGCGTGGCTCTGCTCCGCTCCGCTCTGCTCGTCGCCGAGGACAAATTTATGGGATTCGATGTGTCTGAATAATGGCGGGGAGAGACTCGTTCGAAATTTCGTCGACACCGACTGGCAATATGTGGGAGGAGACCGTTCGGAACTCCCATTAATTTCAAAGTCGATCGGCTCGTCTCGATTCGATCGCTCCTGGCACGATCGGCCGGCCAAGTTATCGGGTTCCTAGTTGGGGAAGCAGCGTCGATGGACCACCGGACGGTGGGGACGATCTTTGGTCGGACGAGCGGCGCGTTCGTCGAGTAGCATAATTTTCGATCGGCGGACGGGCGAGACGATGGTCGCCTCGATCCAGCAACGAGACAACCGTGTAGCATGGTCGCGAATATGACAGGTGGAACGAGCGAATAATTTATGAAACGTGCGATACGGACGCGTCGCTAACGTACGAATACTCTCCGACGGGTTTACCAAGTTTAATGGAACGCGAGCGCGATGCGGGTAAAAAATTGCGTGTCTCGGTGCGGAACTTTCGCAGAGTGCGTCCGCGCGTTTCGCGCGACGCTTAACGCGCGCGTTGAAAGAGATTAAAGAGCGGAACGTTTGGTCAGCGGTATCGGTCGAGAAAAATGCGCGCGTTGAACGTTGCGCGTGACTTTCGGCCGTGTTTTCGCTGGCTTTTTCCGCAAACAATTTCGCGTCCTCTGTACACCGACGCGATCCCCGTGTCGGCGACCGTGGAAATCCCTACGTATCTTTCAGCGATGTTTCCAACGCGGCTGGCCGCGCCTGAGAAATCTACGGTGCGGACAGCCGTTGACTCGGCCGCGACTCGATTCCTATTTTTTCGCTACCTTCGCGATCGTTTCGGAGCGTCCGATATGCTGTCGCAAGAAATCGTCTAGGTGGTCCGTAATCGCTGTCCGAAAATTACCGGGGTTCGCCGAGGTCCCGGTGAAAATTTGGGGTAGGTCCAGGTGTCGCGCGTTCTTTCTCTACCCGTGGTCCACGCCCCAAACTTCGGATCTCGATTCGTCGGGGCTACAGGGTCGCCGTGCCTTCCTCGCCGGAAGACGGCGATCCAAAGAGAGGGAGAGAGGGAGAGAGAACATTGGCCTTTTCTCCGCGCCAGGGACGAATGAAATATGCAGGACGCTTTCTCCTTGGCCGGGTAGGACGGCGTCGGGGGCCGGCCTCGGGAGGGGTTAATTGCAAGGAAATGCGATAAAGCGGACGGGAAGCGTTTCGTCGAGACGTTGGAAAATTTATGCGAGCGAGCCGCGGAGAGAGTCGGTTCTGCCTTCTGGAAAGGACGATGCAGTCGTCGCCGTCGTCGTTCCCGCCGCCGCCGCTGCCGCTGTTGCATCGTGCTAGAATAGTTGAGAGAACCGCGTCTTTTAAGGATTTCGATTAACCTCCGCGACTACTTCTGTCGGGGCAACGTTCCACCGCCCGCTGGAACACTTTGAACCGGAGAAGGCGAGGCGACGCGACCCGACGGTCTGGTTCGGACGAGACCGTTTAAGATTACCTCGGCCGTGCTGCGATCAGATTAGTCCGCTGCAAGCTCGTTCTAGGGGAAAACGCCGACGCGACGCTTGGAAAGTTTCGACCGTAACCCTCCGATCTCGAGTCGTACACCGCGTTACCTCGTTACGGGAGACGCTGTTTTTGGTATCGACACGGAGAAACGTATCGGCTCTCTTGGGCGGTATAGGCGAGCAACTCTCTCTCGACGATTTTAATCTTCGGACGGATTCGAGCGTTTACGCGTTCTACGATGTCGCGTTGCACGAACTCGTGTTATCGGAGAGTTTGCTGCGCATATTTGAACGAAATCAAACATCGGGTTAAAAAAGGATTTGCATTTTTATTACAGTGACGTACGTATATATTACATGACACAGTGTGTGGTACATCTGAGATATCTCGCGATGCAATCGGACGACTCACACCTATCGAGCGTTTATTTTCCGTGGCGCGACGCGTCGAGCACACAGTTTATCGCCATTCTCTCATTCTCTCTCTCTCTCTCTCTCTCTCTCTCTCTCCGAATCACGCGTCCACGCACACGCACAGAAACGCGCACGGAGTCGATGCCCTCTCCGACAACGAGATACCGGCATTAACCGACCCCTGCCCCCCTTTTCCCACGGCGGTATCGCCTGAACAGCAATTCGCTGGATATTACACAGCGCGGAATCTAATTTCGAATGTGTTCCTGATAACAGCCGCGGATAGATAGCCTATGGTACAGCGAAGAGCGCGCGATATTCGGCGCTCGCTTTTGACGGGTCGCGACAATAACGATCGTTTTGTCGAACGATTCTCTGCCCTCGAGAAACGCGCGTACCCACTTTCGAGAACGAGACGTCGCGTCCCCGTGCCCGAATGTTTTGGCGAGTTTGCTCTCCCTACCGTCGAGAGACAAGCGGAATCGAATGATCCTATAAATTGAACTACGGTTCGCTAGATGAAGAGTCGTCGAAAAACGCTCGGCTGCCTCGTCCGACAGGCGGCCCCGGGACCCGTCCAAAAGATCTTGGTCGCGTCGTGTCGCGACGCGACGCAACGAGGTGTCCTGGCTGGCCCCTTTTGGCGATCGAAAGTTCGAGAACGCGCCGCATTGTCCGAGCGATTTTCCGAGCCATTTGGAAACTACGATGCGGCCTTCCGCGTGGTCGGCTCGAGCACGAGCGCGCGCCCACGCGATCGTAAATCGGATCGCGACGACATCCACGGTCTTTCTCCGTCCTCGATGACTTTGACCGACGAGCCGGCGGCCCGCCGTTGTAGTCGTCGTCGTCGTCGTCGTCGTCGTTGTCGTCGTTTTCGTCGTACACCGACGACCGGCTAGGTAAGATTCGTAGAAAATCACATAGAAAATGCTCGATTTGTCCGCGGTCGTCGCACTCTCGCACTAGCACCACGATCCGCTCGAGTTGTTCGTTGCTAATCCCGACGGTTCTCTCGGGATCGGCTCGCGATCCCTGGGTTCCCATAGTCTCTGGGTCAAACTACCGAGTCGGGTGTGCTTCGCGTTTGTCGCTGGGCTCCGAGTTCTCCCCGGAGTCTCGCTCAAACGTTCGAAACCTCCACGAGTCGGCAGTTTTTCGCCTTGTCTCATACGTTCAGGTTCGCGTTCCCCATGTTGTTGACGAAGTTCGAGTTGTGCCCCTCTTGGCTGGCCTGTCTGCCGGCGTGGCCCGCCTCTCCGCTCTGTATGCTGAAATGCCTGTACGATATGTACTCGGGAGGGATCGGTTGCTCCCTCTTCACCGTCTCGCGCTGCTTCTTCACCTTCAGGTAGCCTAGGACGGACACCAGCAGCAGGAACACCACGAACCCCATGCAACAGCCCACTATCAGGCCGAGCCGCCTCGTCAGGAAGCTGCTCACGCTGCCCGCGTCCCCCATCGGGGCACCGTCGCTGCTGATCACCGCCTCGGGAGCTTCCAACGTCTTCACCTCGGTGCAACGGCTCGTCGACGTGTCCGCCATCTGCAGGTCCGAGACGGACTCGAAGCTCTCGTAATTGGAGAAGTTGTACTGATCCACCGTTTCCTCTTCCAGTTGCTGGCTCATCCAGTTGCCCAGCCCGAACACGCAGATCAGATAGCGGCTGTTCGCTGCCAGCTTCGACAGCTTCGTCGAGCGGCTCGATGGCTCGAGGATCCTTGCTCTGATCTGGAACACGCACAGGATGCAGGATGCAAGATACAGGACGCAGGATGCAGGATGCAGGATACAGGATACAGGATGCGGGATACGGGCGCAAAATCGATTACGCTCGATTCTCGTCGAATGGTGAAAAGGAAATTAGGAGGAATTCGTTTCGGAAGCGGCGAAATTCGTTTATCGTTCGTTCGCGCGATCGAGGATCGTGGTTCGGTCGAAGAAGAACCTATCGAGCGTAGAAACGAAAGAGACGAGAAACTTTTGACGATTCGAGCATAGGCAATATTTGGTTCGCGTTCAACGGCCGTTCAAAGAATTTCAAGATATTCAGGATTATTATCTGCTACGTATTATTTTCAACCGATCGAAATTCATCGGGGAGGAAAGAAATATATCGATGGAGGGTGTGTGTGTGTTATCGGTGGTGAGTCTCGGAGATTGTTCCCGATGGTGGAGGACGGGTTTGCGAGTAAGTACGTGGAACGAGTACGAAGCAATGTACCTCGTCGATATTCTCGAAAGCATGGTAAGCCACCTGGTAGCCTCTAATACCGGAGTGATTCCTGCTCTGCCAGGAGACCAACACGGAGAACGGTTGGATGTCCTGGATCGCCAGCTTCAGGATGAGGGGCGCGGAGCAGAACGCGTGCGGGTCCAGGTCCAGGAACACCAGCCCCCGTAATTCCGGCGGCTGTTCGCACCTCAATAATCCGCTGTCCATGTCGTTCATTCGCAATCCTCCGCCTCCGCCACCGCCACCGCCGCCGCTGCCACCGCTGCCGCCGCCACCTCCTCCGCTGCCGCTTCCGCCTCGGTTCCGACCCACGCCGCCACCTACCAGCTTCTGGTGATCGCGCAGCCACTCCCATAGCTCCTGGGACTCGCAATCGCAGTGCAGCGGATTCTCTGCCGGGGAGAATCGCGTGAAATTCCGCTCAATTATAAAATAAGCTCTCGACCGCGTGTAGAACCGAGCGGCGAAACCTTGCTCTAGAAAATGCGTAGGCGAGAAACGAGGGTGCCGATTCGAAAAAGGAGCGAATATAGAGAAAGGAACACCGCCGTGCGTGTTTTCGTGCAACTTGTTCTCACCTTCGGCCCTGAGGCTCCTAATCTGCGTCTCGAGCGGTCGGAACGCGTTCAGCGGCAAGTTGGCCAAGTAGTTCCTGCTCAGATCCAGGATCCGTAGTTTCTTCAGCGGCTTGAAAGCGTCGGGCGAGATCGAAGATATCCAGTTGCCGTACAGATGAAGTTCGGCCAAGTTCTCGAGATGCTGGAACGTGCTCTTCCCGACGCCGCTGATCCGATTGTACGATAGATCGAGCACCTGCATAGCCTTCAGATCCGGCGGGAAGTCCTCGAGCTCTTTCAACTTATTGCGCGTTAGATTGAGCAGCCGGAGGTGTTCGAGACCCTTGAGCCTCTCTTGCGGGAGCAGCTCGAGCTCGTTGGCGCCGAGATCCAGGGTGAGGAGCTCGACCAGGCTGCGGAAAGCGCCCGGCGAGACTCTGGAGATCGCGTTGTTGCCCATGAAGAGATGCATGAGCGCGGGGAACGCCTCGAAGTCCTGGCTGGTGACGATGGTCAGGTTCGTGCCCGAGATGTGGATCTCCTGGAGCGCCGGGTACCTCGCCTCCGAGCTGATCTCGTGGATTCGAATCAGAGGATTCGCGGTGACGTTCAGCCAGGCCAAGCCGGGAATGTTCTGAGCGGAGAGAGCGACGGCAGGGATCTGATGGAACTTGTTGGCGGCGAGCTCGAGTTTGCGCAACAGGGTCGACCTTGCGAAGAAGTTGGCAGGAAGCGCCGTCAGCTGATTGTGGCTGAGATCCACGGAGATCAACCGGGACAAGTTGACCCCGGCGAATCCGGACAACGCCACGACGTAGTTGCCGCGCAGATCCAGCTCCCTCAAGCTGGCCAGACCGTTCAGCCGCGACGCGTCCACGTTCAGGATCGCGTTGCCGGCCAGCGAGAGAAACTCGACGGTGGTGGCGTTCGCGAACGCGTCGTACGGTATCTCCTGGAACCGATTCCCGTCGAGCTTCACCTCTTTCAGCGAGTCGAGCCCGAGGAAGAGCGCGGCGGGCAACAGCCGCAAAAGATTGTTGCCGAGCAACAGCTTGGCCAGATTCTTGTTCTTCGAGAACATGTCCGGCGGCACTCTGTACAGCTGGACCGAGTCCATGGCCAGGTGTTGAAGCGAGGGCAGCCCGTCCAGAGAGTTGCCGTTGATCTGGCTAAAGTTGTTGAACGATATCCTGAGCACCCGGAGGCCGGGGATGTCCAGGCGATCCAACGCGGTGGCCGTCAGACGATTTTGCTCGAGATTCAGCTCGTAGAGATTGTTCAGGCCGCGAAACGCTCCGTTCTCGATCACGCCGACGGTGCAGTTCTTCAGGTTGAGCGTCCTTATCGGCAGCCCCTCCTGAAAGATCTTGTCGTGTAGAACGTTCAGACGATTGTTCGCCAGATCGAGGACGCGGAGACGCTTGAGCGCGGTCAGAGCGTACGGATCGAGGCGTCGTAGCCCGTTGTCCTGAAGGTAGAGCTCCTCTAGCTCGTGCAGCTCGGAGAAGGTTCTGGCGGTGATGTGGCCGAGCCTGTTCATGCTGAGCTCGAGGTACTTGAGCGCCTGCATCGGCTGGAACGCGGTGTCCTCGATCCGCGAGATCGAGTTGTTGGTCAGGTAGAGTCGTTCGACGAGAAGCAGATCCCGGAACAACGGCGCCTGCAGCCGGGTCAGCCGGTTGTGGCCCAGCCACATGATCCTGACGGAGGCCTGGCCTCTCAGCGAGTCGTTGTGCAGCACGCCCAGCCCGTTGTTGTCGAGCTGAATCGAGACCAACGAGCTGCCGCCGTTCCCGTTCTGTCCGACGTCGTTCGACACCTGGAACACGTCGCCCAGCACCGCCAGAAGATTGCCCTGCAGATTCACGTGCTGCAGGCTGTGCAGGGATCTGAGGGCGCCCGTCTCCATGTCGGTGATCGCGTTGTTCTGCAGATGCAGCTCGAGCAGGGACGGCAACGGAGCGAACACGCCGCGCTTCACCTCCGTGATCTGGTTGTCCTGCAGCCGCAGCTCCCTCAACGACTTGGCTTTCGCGAACGTGTCGACCTCCAGCTCCCTGATGTTGTTCCCGTCCAGGAACAAGGTCGACAGGTTCTCGCACGGCTCGAGAAAGTCCTTCGGCACGTTCTCGATGTAGTTGCCGCTCAGATGGAGCTGCGCCAATTGGCTCAACGTCGCCAGACCTCTCGCGTCGATCCGTCGGATCGCGTTCTGTTGCAGGTAAACCACCGAGAGGCTGGTGCTGCCGGCGAACGTCTCCGCCGGGATCTCGAGGATGTTGTTCTCCGCCAGGAAGAGCTCTTTCAGTTCGGGCAGCTTCGAGAACACGCCGCGAATATAATGGATGTGGTTGTGACTGAGATCGATCGACCTGAGCCTCTGGTTCGCTCTGAATATCGAGACGTCCAGGGAGACGATCTTGTTGTGGCTGAGATCGATCGAGTCGAGATCGGTCAGGGATATGAACGCGTCCTTGTCGACGAACTCGACGGCGTTGTAATAGAGGGAGAGCACGGTCAGGGACGGACAACAGCGGAAGCAGTTCAGCGGGATCTTCTTGAAGTTGTTGCTGCTCAGATCGAGAAAGTTCAGGCCGTCCAGCCTCGAGTAGCCGTCTTCGGGAAGCTCGGACACCTCGTTCCAGGCGAGCCTCAGGGACGCGAGGTGCTCGAGCCGCCTCAGCGACGTCATCGGGAACACCCTGATCTTGTTCTCGGCCAGGTCCAGGCTCGTCAGAGTGTCCTCGAGGCCAGCGAACGCGTACTCCGATATCTTGACGATCTGATTGCCCTTCAGGTTCAGCTTGATCAAGGACAGCCCGTAGAAGCTGTAGCTGGGCAGCTCGTGCACCAGGTTCGCCTCCAGGTTCAACGCTTTCAACGAGCTCAGGGTAGCCATGGCTTTTTGCGGGACGTGCGGCAGCCGTCCCGAGACCAGGCCCAGCGACTCCAGGCTCTTGCCGAGTCGCTTGAAAGCGTCCTCGCTGATTTCACGGATCGCCGAGTGCGAGATCTGCAAGTTCCTGATCTGGGAGCCGGGAGGGAACGCGGCCGCTCGCAGCTCCTCCACCTTTCTGTCCAGCTCGTACACGCTCAAGGTCTCCACCGTCGCTCCTGCAACAGCCACGTTTACATATTTCGATTCGATTCGATTCGATCCGATTTATTTCGCTTTTTATTCGACTTTCGAGGTTTCCGAGTTCGACGACAACGATGGTATAGGTAGCGGCATAATAGGTAGCGGCATAATAGGTAGCGGCATAGGTAGCGGAAAGGACAAGAATAACCCGGCTGTAGGAAACGGAATCCGCGCGGCGCGGCGTTTTATCCTAATTTATTCGGTGGTAGCAGGCATGCAGGCAGGCAGACAGGCAGCCCGGTTACGTACCTTCTCCCTCGGCGGCGTGTATCACGCCGGACAAAGCGCTCCTCAGGGACTCCTCCGTGGCCCCGGCGCATTCCAGGAACAGACCGTCCTCGAAATTGTAGCAGGGACAGCCGGGTATCGTGTCCGGGGGCGGGCACTTGGCGCTCCTGGCTTCCTGCGCCGCCATGCACGCCGCCAGCACCACCGAGTAGATGAAACGGAATCCGTCGCGGCTTCCGCGAGCTCCGTCGTGTCCGCCGCGCGCCTCCGACGAGCCGCGCCACTTGCGCCTCGTACGCGGCCACGTCGTCCACATGTTATTATTATCGCGCCGTTCCGTGCCTGGCCCGTCTCGATCCGCTCATCCTTTCCCTCGACCGCGCTTCGAGACGCTGCTTCGCCTGCGAACAATGCACACCGATATATGGAGACTCTCTCTTTCTCGTTCGACCAATACTAAAAACACGTACACCCGCGCCTATGCAGCATTTTTCTATGCTTCCTCTTTTAAATCGTAAACGCAGTTAACGTCTCCTCGTCTCGCGGCTAGACGATTCTATTTCAGCGTAGTTTAGGGTCGGTCCGAGAGCGATCCGTCTTATTTTAGGTGCTGGCCAACTACAGCGTCGAGTTGCGGCGATGGGGAAGTTCGGTGGCCGTTAACGGCCAGCCGGGTTTGCCCAACCGGTGTTCCTCGTACAAGAAATGTTTTCATACCTTTTGCCGAGCGTGTTACGTTCTCCCGGGGCCTCGCGGCGTTAAACATTGCGCAGCGGGATCGGTATAGGTACAGGGATGGTTGATGCGGCGCGGCGCGTTCAAACTTCAAGAGTTCGATATTAACTGGTGCACCGGTGGACGAAACCGGGAACCGGCCCTGGTGTATCTTGGCCTCTGACCGTGTTCGCTGCCCACCAAACTTCCACGCGAATTTCCCGTTGGTCCTCGGTGAAATTCTTCGAGCTCGCTTCCGATCGCGCAGTCAGGTGTTTGCACAACTCGGAACGCGTATTTCCAAGGCGAGTGGAACACACCGGTCGAGACGTTTCCGAATTTTGTATCCAGAAACTCGTCGACGGTATACGCGCGAAACCTTTTCGGACGTACGATTGCATCCCGGGGCTACGAGTAAACCATTTTGTCGCGTATATTGCAGCTATTCGTTTACGGTAGAAAAGAGTTTTTAATTCGAGCTCGCGCTACCTTTGCCGGATCGAAGACGATCGCGCGAACTTTTGCCGCGTCGTAACGGAGCGAGTTTTAGCGTTCGGTGCATCGTTGTGAAAACGACTACCGAAGTTCGTCGCGGTAGTTTAATCGTTGGCGCAGCTTATCCGGATAATGGATTACCCGAAGCGTGTCCGATGACTACGTAAACGCGCGCGAGCGACTCGGGGGGGCGTCTCGAGAATGGGAGCGACGGTTTCGTTGACAATGGGGTCGTCGATTGTGTAACAGCCAGTAACGGCGTCGAGATACTTGGCCCGTTGAATCCGGCGCAGGCACACCTGCCGTACAACGAACGGTTACGTTCTACTTAATTATGCACGGGACCGATGCGCGACGCGCATCCCATCGTTCGATCCGTGCTCGAACGATGAAATCTAGATTTTTTTTTCTAGAAACGACGGGGTTTTCTCGTCGAAAATTCGGACGATAATTTCGTCGCGGAACCCTTTCGAGATAGCCTGTCCCCGATCCCGGACCGGTCTAGACCGCTCAGGGGTCTGCGCGTTCGAGCAGCCAGGATGATAAGAAAGGAACCTCGGAGTTCTTCTAGCTGCTCGACCATAAACCTTGCAATCTCTCGAGCGGTATTCTATTCTAAAGCACTCTGTACGTAAAATAAGGTTTTTACGCTAGCAGAATTCTGCCGGCTCGACTCGGCGCGGCACGTACGTTCTGCACGGTAAACGGAGAATAAAACCGGTTTTATCGGTTAATCAGCATCTAATCCGTTCCCGGGAACACCCTCGCGTTACAGAATTACGCACGAAAAAGTTCGCGTGCGTTTTTATCGGCTTATCGCGCATTAACATTTTCTTGGAATATTTCTTCGCGCACACCGACGCGACGCGACGCGACGCGACGCGAGCCCTCCGCGTACGCGTGGACACGCGTGCGCGCAGCCGTGCGTCGTCGTTTCGCCGGGAAAAGATTATCGAACGAAACGGAGACTTCGAATCGCGAACGAAACCGAAAGCATCGAGCGACGATCGAATCGTGTTAATATTTTAACATCGTCGCGAAACGAAACCTCGGTTTCCGGATCGATAACGCGAGTCCACGATCGTGCACGGTGTCGGTTCGAAAATCGTCCGTTGCCGGTCGCGAAATATTTATTCGCATTCGATCGTTTCCGTTCCGAACGAATCGCGCCGATCTAATTTCTTTCTCGTCGCGGACACGCGAACCCCTCGATACGCGCGATCGTGGTTGGAAGACGAGAGAGAAAAGCATCCGATGATAAACGGGCCATCGAGGCGCGTCCGTGGCTTCGAATCGTTTCTATATCCTTGTCGAACGAGAATTCCAATTTCGAACGCGGTTGGTTCGAATAGGAGTTTCATGCTCGAATTAAACGGCTTAGACGCGGTATAATAGCGATAAAGATTTCATTTACGGAAACGCGGAGATCAAATTTTAAGGAGTCACGGTCATTATCGAAGAAGAAGGATGGAACGAATTCGAATTTCGAATATCAACGTTAGTTGCACAAATAAGTTTGCGACGCGAACGGAGCTCGAGTGCCGTAAAATACAATTACGCTCGAAGAATCTGCAAAATCGCGATACATTTGTCTACAGCGAGGCGAGGCGAGGCGAAGCGAACCGAGCCTCGAAAAACGCGGATAAATAACTTGAAAGTTGCGCGGCATCCGGTTGATGCACAACCTTTGCGGAAAAAACAAGTCCAGCTTCCCTAAAGGAAAACGGACGTACCGGGCAAAAAACGGCCGGCGCGTCCGGCAAAACGAACGACGCCGAACACAGAGACGAGTTCTTAACTGCGAATGCAGCTAACGCTGCGAATGGCGCGCATTACCGCGACGGGTCCCGCGCTAAAAATCATATTAATACGGCAAGCCGTGCGACGCGTAATCAGGCTTACGTCCGGGCGCACGCGACTGGCAATGATTAAAAACTTGCATTACACGCGTGCATTAATTAAAAGCGCGGGGACCGTAGGAACGCCGGTGGAATCATTGATTTTTCCACTTGGCAGTCGACTGTGACCCGAGGCGAACCCGAGGCGAACCCGAGGCGAACGCGAGGCGTCCGGCGACCGGCAACCCCCTGACAAAGTTGGAACCTTTGCTCGAGACGAGGGAACTGCCTGCCGACCTGGAACGCGTGTCCCGTCGACCATATTTTTCCCAAACTAACGACTCGTCCTTCGTCCGACATCGGCCGAGCCCCGAAGATTTACCCGGGACGCTAAATTACGACCGGATGATCTTCTCGGGATCACGACCCGCCGACGGCCGACGGCCGACGCCCGCTCTCTGGAAATATCAAGTGCGCCGGACAAAGCCTCCCGCGGGCTTAAACTTTCATCCGACCATCGTTGAATCGCGCGCGCGCGCGCGCGCTCTCATTTTTCTCTTTAAAGATCGCGGATGGACATATTTTATACCTCCGCGCTGCAAGGTTACGTCTAACGCCGAAAGCGTTCTCGGTAAATAAGCCATTCTTCGCGTAGAATTCGATTTCCGAAGCACTCGATAAACGATATCGCGTGCCCGGAATCCGAGCTGGTCGAAGAAAACGCGGCTCGTCCGGCACGCGAGCAATGTCTGGAAGAGGATCGACTTTCGTCGTCGAATTAATCCGGCGAGGCAGCCTCGAGACGACCGTGTTGTTATTACATTCCCTGTTCTGCCGGGCCATTAACGTTCCCGGAAGCGCGGAGGTGTCGCGCGGACGCCTCGAAGATAGAAACGCAGCCGTCCCTGGGGACGAGAATGCGTCGCGGTAGGATCGGAGCCGAAATATGGCGAGGTTTAATAAAGGACACTGGGTTTCCACGACGGGAACGCAGGCACACGGCTGCGTCGACGAAGACACTCGGCGGCGCGTTTAATTAAGCGTCGCTGCGACGCTTAATCTCCGAACTGCATCCGGCCGCCGCGTCCTCGAAGCGCGCGGACGAAATTGAATATTTTCCTTGGCTCGTTCGCCCGACTCTGGATGCGCCTGCTTATCTTCGCCGAAGCTCGAAAGAATCCGCGCGCTTCTAAACAAAATATTTCGTCGCTTCTAAATTTTGGAAAAATTTCTCCCGCTCCGCGAGAACCAATCCCTACGGGCTACGGGACCGCGAAGGGAATAGCTGCGCGGATGCCCTGCTACCGTTCCTAAGGCGAGATTAAATGGTTCTTGGACTCGGGAACGATTTCCCCGGCTCCGCTGGACGCGTTTCAGCTGCTTTACAAAGTTCTTTGGATCTGCTGGAAGAGAGAGAGAAAGGTTGTATCGGTGGTCTTGGACGATTTTCAAAGCGCCCGTGTCTCTCTTCTCTTCGTTCGGTTCGAAAACGAGTTTTCTTCGATAAGAGAAACGCGTCGGCTTTTGTCCGAGGCACTTTTGTCACGAAATTTTGGCTGGGTTTACTTTGCGAAACGGGGAGTCGCGCATACAGGTGGTACAGCGAATCCGGTACGGTTATCCGTGATCGAAGATGGCAATTCTTGGTCTCGGAAGCGATTTCTGTTTTCGCGTTTGGTAAAACAGAGAAGAAGGGAGGGGGGTCCGCTTCGAGTCGACGACGCGACGGTCGAAGCAAAAATAACAACGTACCGAGTAGAACGAGTCGATCGTTGGTCGGACAATGGCGGTACTCTCCCGATTTCTATATAGAATCGTAAACGTACTCGAGCAGAAAATGTCCGTGCATCGTAGAGAGAGAGAGAGAGAGAGAGAGCGTAGGAAACCGACCACCACCGCCCGACAGACAATTCCAGATTACCCGTATCGCTGTACGTCGAGCACGTCCGCTGCTTCGTCGTTTCTACCGGTCCGATGCCGTAGATCGATCCGCGTTTTCCCCGATATCCGAACCGCGCGAGAACAGCGCGGAGAACGGCGCAAATAATAACGATAATTGTTCCGTTCGCGAGTTATTCTTTTCCCTCGTATCGAGAAAAGGGTATCGTCTAGAGTCTAAAGAGAACAATGGGAGGAGGGATGGCGAAACCGGGTCACCGACCATTTTAAAAACCGTCGGTTTTAATATATCGTGGTTCGCCGGGGCCGATAGGCCGATATATCTCTCCGTCTCGCCATGAATATTGTCCTCGAGGCGGAACCTATCGATCCTGCCGTCGAACGTAAACGGAATAAAGCGGGAATTTTTCGGCGAGCCCGGCGCACGGCCGAGAGCGTCGCCGCGCCGGGAGAGA